GCTCAAACGTAGCGACAATTGTGAGCAGGCGCAGAACCAGGAAGCATTTCATTTTGTTGTATGTAGGGTTGCTCTGAATTGGAACTGATTCTTTAGCGCATAATGAAGTTGTATTTGCATGTGATATTAATGGTACTGTTGGATCATTTCTGGAATCTGTTGTGTTGTCTTTCCTTGGAGTGGACACAAGCATGGATCGATTCCATTGGTTACCCGGGTAGTCATATTGAAAATACATTTGGATAATGTTGTATTTAATATTCCCTCTCCAGAGAGTCAGGCTTCACATTATCTGCACATCAAAGGCTCCCAGTAGCTTGCGTTCAAAGAAAATGACAGTGGCCTAGAAATTCCGAAAGACTAGAATGTGGTACTACCGTGCCCCTGGGAGGGTTTGTTGCTTTCTGGGAGCTATAACTCAGTGTGCAAAATCCAAATCTGTTTTTCCTTTAAGTGCAATAGTAGAAATTATTTTTAATGACCATTTCTGCTCACTTTTTGCCTTGCTCGGCAGCTATTGGTCCCTATGTAGGGCACATCTGCCTGTAATGAGCTATGGTAAACTTTCCTGCTCCCCAGAGGGATCCCAGATGGCTTGGCAACTTTTCCCTGTGAATGGGTATGATGTTAGACTGCTAATCTCCGTAAGAGAAAAGTAGATATGTGAGTCTTAATCGACACATGTTGCAAAGGCTCCGAAGGTGGCGCAGCTGGGGCTCATTAGCAATATTCTCAAAGGTTAAAGGAAACCCAGAATGGAACATTCTATTTCTTCTTCTTTCTTTCTTTTTTAAGTATATCTAATTCACTCTTTGTCCTATAAAGATCTGTTTGAAATTTAAGAAGTCATTTAAGGTGGAAGATTTTGACAGCTACATTGCTTTATTTTTTTAAAGGATCCTTTTTGGTTTGTGGTGATGAAAATGTTGCACTGATTAAGGGTAAGGTTGGACCTCTAATTAATGCAATGGCCGTCAATAAGTTAGACACCCGTCAAAAGTGAAATTGGCAAACGTTGTTTGACAGATACTAAAGTGCACAAAATTCCTTCATCTGACCCGGTTAGCTGTAGTTCTCCATTTTCTACTTTTCTAAATCCCAGCCAGCTTGGAGCTGTTTCCTCGTTTTTTGAGTGGGCTGTTCAGTTTTAATTGTCTGAGATGAACTTGTGTGCCGTTGGAGACGCCAAGTCCACTTCAGATTTACTTTGCCTCCTGTGTCGGCCATTCTGACCACCTTCAGTTCGGATGGGGAAGCAATCTGGGTAAGGGTTCTTTTTCCTTCTTTCCATGAAGCAATTTTTGTTATTTATTCATCTATATTTATTTTTTTCATGTTAAACCCTCCATTTTCTGCCCCCCCTCCACGTCCCCTACCTCTCCCCTCCCTTTTCCTACCCCAGTCCCTGGTCTCTACATCGTTGTCAAAGGCTTGTTTATTGGAGTATAAAGCACATTTATTCTTCTTTGTTTTCCCTTCTAATCATGGTGATATTAAAGGTGAGCTGTTAGTTTTGCTAACGGGAAAGGATAAAGGTGGGATGTTAAAGCTTTGCTAGTTGGTGTGACTTAAATTGCCACCCTAAGTTTTCTTGTGTGTGGTGTGCTTCCAATAGAAGTTAAAAAGTATTGGTATGCTATCATAGAAGTGTGTATTAAACAAAAGTACCAAAATGGGAAGCCATTGTTTCTGAACATATCCTCCGACTCTCTAACCCTTCCTCTAAGACCTGCGCTCACTGATGCATGTCATGCTGGGACCCTGCTCCGCCATCCACCTCAGAGCGTGTCTTTTTCAGCGTTTTTTGAGTCTAAGGAGCAAAAGGAAATCGGAAGGGGCAAGAGCAGAGCTGTAGAGCGGATGGGATAAGGTGGTAAGGCTTTCCAATACAACTCGTATAGACCAGCCCTTGCTACCTTTGAAGAGTGAACAGGTACATTGTCGGGATGAAAAAAAAATTCCTTGGTGCACCTTTGCTTGCCTTTTCCTCATCAATGCAGTTTTCAACTTCTTTGTAATAAGGCCCTCTGATCATCCTGTGTTCTTCAATAAAACTCGACGAAGATGCGCACACGCATGCACACACGCACGCACACACATAACAGTACCATAAACTTCTAACCTGACATCTCTGTCTTGAATGGAAGTAGCCCAGCAGATCCCCCTGGGATGTCATGTTTGAACCTGTTTTGAAGGCACCCTGAGGAGACTAAGATGCATGTATCACTGAGAGAAAAGATCATACACACAGGACCTAGAACCATAGTAGCAGTACTTCTGATTTACACGTGTAGCTAGAAATGCCCTGGCCTTCTCTCTTGTTCCAGACCCTGCATCTGGGTCATCTTTATCTGACCTCCAGTTGGAACTGGAGCCAGTGGCCTATTGTCAGATCTGATTTACTCACTTCCCCTGCCTTAGGCGCTGGTGACCTGTCTTCTGACAGCTAGTTTGTGCTTGTTAGTCCCTAGAGCAGTGGTTCTCAACCTTCCTAATGCTGCGACCCTTTCATACAGTTCCTCATGTGGTGGTGACCCCCAGCCATAAATTATTTTCGTTACTACTCATGTGGTGGTGACCCCCAACCATAAAATTATTTTCATTACTACTTCATGACTCATTCTGCTACTGTTATGAATCATCATGCAAATATATGATAGGCAGGATGTATTTTCATTGTTACAAATTGAACACCATTTAAGCATAGTGATTAATCACAAAAACAATATGTAATTATATACTGTGAAATATTTATTTCTAATGACAAATAAATGAAATTTTGTCCTGAAGCACGGTGAAGCATGGGATAACAGTCTTCATGCGGGGTACTCATATGTGGGCATATCTACATGTGGGCGGACCTGCCTGGAGACGGTAGAGGAGCGGTATCTTGGCTCCTAAGGTCATCGGAAATATGTGTGGTCCAATGGTCTTAGGCGACCCCTGTGAAAAGGTCGTTCGACCTCCGACCTCCGAAGGGGTTGCAACCCACAGGTTGAGAACTGCTGCCCTGGGTAAGAAGGGGAGTAGGAAAATATACACATATATGCTCCACTGTGCAAAAAAATAGTTTATTTATTCAATAAATTTACTTAACTATTAAGGAAGGAGCTCTGGTGGCATAGTAATTAAGCAATTGGCGGTTAACCAAAAGGTCTTGGATGGAAGCAAAGACCTGGAGCTTTGCCCCTGTCAGCTGACAGCCTCGGGAAGTCTGATCTGGCCTACAAGGTCACTATGAGTGGGAATCGACAGGCACAACAGCCGCAAGACTGCCTGTTATAAGGAATGAGTGTAAATGTGGCAGAAAAAATGAGGAGGAGGAATGGGCTCAGGGAGATATCATTGTTCTGAATACATCATTTAAAATAATTCTAGCTAAAAAACCTTTTAGCATTTCACATATACAGTATTAATTTAAAGTTTTCACAAAATGAGTGGAACCTAAAATTTTCAGAGTTCAACACATTAGATAGATTATCTCTGAACTCTATTAATTTGAAGTCTATGAAAAGTTGGTGATTATGTTATATATTTTTAAATTGAACCCAGACAAGATTGTTTGGGCAGAAAGGTCCCTCTGCCTCGTATACCAGCACTCAAAGACCATTCCCCAGGCTTCTTTCCCTTGTGTTAGACACTGCCTGTCTGGAAGTCCATGGACATGGAGTTCAGGGTCATGTAGCCATGCAGACTTCCTGGATTTATGGCAAGTGTAATAGCCTCAGGATCAACTTCGGGTGGCCAAGCTGAAAAGACAAAGCATTACTCACAGCTTGGTGTAAGGGGATTTCCCATTTAGCCTCTTTTTACCAGGAGCCACAGATGCTTTATAAAGTTACTCACCAGAAATGGAAGTGGTTTTCAACTTTACCTCAAGGGTACGGTCTAGTTCACTGGCCAAACAAACAAACAAACCCCAAACCCAACTACTTGTATTTCAGCAGGTCTGTCAATCAGGCAATGCTAACGGCTATTAACAACAATAAAAAATATACTTCTTAATCCCCACAGCACAGTTAAACATGTATTGCTGTTCAAGGCACCAACAAATGCAGAAAAGGACAAGAGCCCCTGATGCACAGAGCCGCTCAGGGATCCAGACTTCTCTCGTGCCTGCCTGCTGTCTTCTTGGATCTTGGGCCCAAAGATGAAGAGGCGCGCATGACTTCTGGTCCTAACTCATTGGTCAATTAAAAAGGTCTCACCAATGGCAAAGAATGCTGATAAACAATCCGGTTATATGTTTAACAAGAAAATAAATTACGTTTTCTTCTATCACAGTTTCCATCTGGAGACTTGAATGAACTGGTTGCATAACACCCCACCTCCAAAACAATCCAAAGAAACACCCTGCCATTGACTGAATTCCGACTTGCAATGACCCTGAATAGGCTGTAAATCTTGATAAAAGCAGACTTTATCTTGCTACCAGTGAGCAGGTGGTGGGTTTGAACAGCTGCCCTTGCCATTAGCAGCTCAATGTCTAACTCATACCACCAGGACTCCTTAAGTAGCCCCATGCACTGGTATATCTGACTTATTTACGTAATGCCTTTGTGGAGGTTGTTAAATTAGTCTCCCCTTCCCTAGATCAAGTTGTTGATTACTGTTTGGATGTTAACTGAATATTGTCTTGACTTAATGTTTATTATAAATGCTTTCATATATTTAGTTTCTCAAAAATTATTTAGTGATCATACTAATTTAATGTCAGAGCAGAACGGGGGTGTCCTTTATAAACTTATTTGAACATATATACTATGTATTTTGTTCTCTAACAGATTATTTGTTTTATGGAAGCATTTGAATTGCATGCCACTACCAGGAATCTGGACATGTTATCAGGAGAGACCAGTCCTGGAATAAGACATCCTGCTTGGCAAAGCGGTGGGGCAGTGAAAATGAGGAAGCCCTTCCACAAGATGAACTGGCACGGGAGCTGACACAATGGGCCCAAACATAAGCACAACTGGGAGGATTGTTTTGTTCTTTTGCACATAGGGTCACTGTGCGTCAGAGCCTACTGGAGGGCACCTAGCAACAATACCAGGAACCTAACAGTTACGTGACTCGGAGACTCAGAAGGTAAGCCATACATTTGGCCTTAAACTTTCAAATAACTAGTACATATTCTTTATCATATATGGATACTAATTACTAAAGGCTTTTATCATCACAATAAATGCCGTATTTTGGCAGGCAGTGTGGGATGGAGCAGGAACCAGCGAGTGGGCAGGAGGAGTTATTGAGCATAAAGAAATGCCTCTTCTACAGATTTCTTTGACAGTGTCACAAAAGTTCACAAACTTACAAAAATGACATTTAATTTTGAGAGGAAAATTTGAGAGGACCCGACCTTCCCACTTAAGATTTGACCCAGGTGAATGGAGGGGGGTTGGCGGTTGGCGAATGAGAAATGGGATGAATCTGGATCCAATCCTGTGACAAAATTGTACCGTGTGCAAGTGCCTTACCATCAATGTGAAAGAGAGCCTTCAGATTCCTGTCGTTTGTCCTTCTCGTCTTTAACCCCATTCCTGTTGGGAAATGCTGTACTCTCTCTCCCCTGGTCGTCTGTGGGTCTCTGCAAGGCCTTGCTCACACACACTGTGTTAGGTCGTCAGGCAGCTCTACCCGGCGTGCCGTGGAAGAGCCGGGATGGAGAAAGGAAGCTTGTCGTGAGCCCTCGCACTGGAACGTACCGATTCTGTGCGCATTGGCCTCCATGAAGCATTACTTAATCCACCGAAACCTGCCTGTGTGTTTTACAGACACAAAGAGGTTAGGTCATTTGATCGACGTGCCACACTCCGTGGTTGGCATTGTCTAGAGTCGCGTCACTGTACTGTAGAACCTTTCACATAAGTTTGGAGACGCCCTGGGGGTGCAGCGGCTCAGCAGTGGGGAGTTGGAACTCACCAGCCCTGCAACAGAGAACTACGTGGCTGGCTGCTTTCCTGAAGATTCCAGGCCTAGAAAGCCGAGGAGGAGGCTCTGTTTTGTTCTATCGCATCTCTGTGAACCGGAGTCTACTCTATGGCAACAGGTCTGGTTTGGCGTTCACACGCAACTTCATTCCTATCCATGTTAGCAGTTCGCAGTGGCTTTTTAACAGGTGATGATAGTTCATCAACCAGATTATGAATTTACATGTCTGGGTTCGTCCACATTACAGCGCACTAACTTTTGCAAGCTTGTCTGAAATAAAACAAACACTTCAGATCTCATCAATGGATAATAGTGTTGTTGACTCTATTTTGAGTAAATAGACCAGCATATTAAGTCCTATGTATAATACTGTATTTCTATTTACTCATTTATAAAGTAAGGTACCCTAGTGGCACAAAGGTAAAGTGCTCAGCTGCTAATCAAATCCCAGTGGCCTGAATCCACCTGGTGGTTTCACAGTAGAAAAGATCCGAGGATCCTGTAAAGATTACAGCCTAGACACCCTCAGCAGGACAAGGGGTTGCTATGAGTCAAAATTGACTCTGGGGCACCAAGCAATAACAATGTGGTGCTTGATGCTATTTGACATCCTTGTGATGGATTTTATGATCATAGAACGTAAGAGCCGCCTGGGCAGTGTAGTGGTGATGCATCGCGCAGTGATCCCCGGGGTGAGCAGTTCCAAACCCTGAGCAGCTCCCTGGGAGAGAGACTGGGCTTTGTCCAGTTAGGGTCTCAGAGACCCACAGGGGGTCACTGTGAGTCAGCACTGCCTTGATGGCAGCAAGGTTTTTGGTTTATATAACTTAAAAGTCCTTGTAGTCAGTAGCTTATTCAAGTCTACTCCTAGTTCTTAAAATCATGCTAAATGGGCCAGCAACTGGATCCTTTCCAGAGTTTAAAATCAAAACACGAAGCCTAGCTTATTAAACACACTTAGACAAAATAGTCAGGGTAGAGGTTGATGTTGTGATTACGGTTCCCTGTATGTTTAAAAATATTTTGCATTCCAAATAGTTTTCACTTTCTTCACAGGAGCTTTGTTTATGTTTAAAAGCAAATCAAAGGAAAGTACAAAAAAACATTTTAGTTGCATATGAGAAAAAATAGTCTCATCCTGAGTTAAGTGAGAAGTTCATAGTCAGCTACAATGGGAACTTCTGAGAAGAAAATCAAATTATTAATAAAATACTTGATAAACATCAACAAGCTTAAGAGTCCCATATGTGCATGAAGCCCACTCAAGTGTCCATTAGCCCTGGAATCATTCAGGACTCTAATGATCTTAGGTTACAGTCTTTAAAACAATTCAGACCCAGTCTTCAATCATATTTTAAGTGTTCCTACCAAGTGATAAATTATTTAGGTGATTTATGCAGAGGACTTTTCCCTAGGAATAAAATGTTGACTCCTTATAGTGGTTTTTGCCTGGGAAATTGCTTTAAAGAGATACTGTAGTGGGGTTACATGATTTCTATGCACATTCAACTGAGGGAGGTAAAAATTAAATCTTCATCAGCTTCGTTGTTGAATTCAATCATTGCTTTTAAAGGCCCAGAGTCACCGAACAGTAGAAAGAGTGCCCACACTCGACTGCTAATAAAGAAGCCAGAGGTTTGAATCCACTCCGAGGTGCCTTAGAAGAAAGGACTGGCAATCTACACCTGAAAACCAGCAGGTAAAACCCTACGCAGCAGGGTTGGAATTGAGCCACAGCAGTGGGCCTGGGTTTGTGTTTCGCTGTTTCTGGACTATCAAAGGGGTCCAGCTGCCCCTACCACCCACATCTACCACCCTGGAGACTGATTTCCATCATAGGCCCTGATCTCAGAGGGGTGGTGTGGTTCTTCCTTCCATAAGCGCTTCTCGTTGATCCTTGGTGTGTATTATGTTCTACCATTCCCTGCTGGTACTTCCTCAAGCTAAGAGTTGTAGAATGGCTGCTTTTAGGAAAAATATACTTTGCTGTTAAGATTTTCCTGAGCTTTCTCTAAGGATTTCCTCCACATAACTTCCATAAATTCCCAGCCCTTGGTTTTTACTAGATTCCATTGAATAATCCCATATATGCTGACTGGTGTGCCGCATGCCTGGGACGACCCCTTTAGCTTGTGACAGAGCGCTGCTCAACAGCTGCAAGTCATTAGTGCTAGCAAGGCCTTCTGCAAAGAAACCTGAAGGAGTGAATGGTTTGGGGTGGAGCCAATGGCAGGAAGCCTGGACTAGCGATTAAGTCACCACCGAGTCTTTGATTCATAGGTTAGCTTCCTGTAAGAGGCTTTCAACTATTGGAGTTGAACCCAATTTTCCTTGATGCAATAAAGCAGAAAAGGGGTGTTCAGATGAAATTCTAGGAGCAAAGGGAGAGGAGGAGGAGCACATGCCAGAAGATATAAAGTGACCGATTACCCACAAGCTATTGCAGTTTGTTAACCAATTTCCCATCATCCTTCCAATGAGTCACTCTCACCATTAGACCTTCCTTATTCCAGTTTGTAACAGCCCATCACTTATAAGAATCACCTACAAGGGAGAAAAGAACTGGCCCTAATCCATTCACAACACACACCCAATCTCACATTTTTCTCTTAAACCGTTTTTTCCCCCCTTCCTATCTCAGATGTTTCCCCTGCTGCTTGAAAGGTTCTCCTTCCATCATGATTAACTACTGCTTTGCCAAAGAAAATACAAACACAATAACAACGGTCCTCTGCAGTCCACAGTGCTCAGGAATCTCTCAGTCTTGGAACTGGAGGACTGTGGCTTCGGACTGATCAGGAGTCGGTCCAGCCAGTGCGTCGGAGAGATGGTGGCAATGGCCTCAGGCTCCCTCACAGCGCTTTCCTGGTCAGAGACGGCCTTTCAAACACGGTTTGAAAGTTCTCCTTCTGCTTCCTGAGGGACGCAGATGGCTAAGCACGAGAACGTTACTCGAGGGTGGGCTGTTTGAACCCAGTCAGAGTTCTAAGGTGCTCTGCTTCCTAAAGGTCACTGCTTTGAAAACTTTATTGGGCCGCTATAAGCCAGAGTTGACTTGAAGGCAACGAGCAATCATTATTCTTTTATTTATGAAAGCTACTAATGTGTTTAGCGTGTACCCCGCCTTCTGACAAGAAGCCTCTGGAAGAAGTGCTGGTGAGCGCATTGCCTATTACTAATGTCTTCGTTATTAGTTGTCGACTCATTATTCAATATCCTCAGAGGCCGTTTGTGGTTGCCACATGGCCCTTGATTTTGACTCATGGCATCTTCACACGTGTCAAATGACAACCAGGCTCCAAAGCATTTTCGTTTGCTAATATTGTCAGGGGACTGCTGGACCTGCCCTTCAAGATGCTTCCAGGGGAACTCATGCCTCCAACCTTTCCACTGATAGCATATTAACAAATGGAATCCCTTAGGTGGTGAAATGGCTTACTACTTGGGCTTTAACCACAAGGTCAACAGTTCAAAACCACCAGCCCCTCCTCCGGAGACAGATGAGGCTTTCTATTCCTGTAAAAAGTTACAGTCTTGGAAAACCACAAGGGTAGTGCCCACAGGTCACCATGAGTCAGAATTGACTCAACGGCAGTGAGTGGGGAGTGAGCCCTGTCCAATAGGTCCTGAAGTGGTAACTTCAAGATCAGCGATTCAAACCCCCGAGCTGTTCCTGATGGAATAAGTTGAGCCCATCAGCTTCTGTAAAGGTTGACAGCCTTGGAACCCCACGGAGGGTCCCTGTCAGTTGAAATCAACTTGCTGGCAGTGGGTTGGCTGGTAGGACTCCAATCACTCAGCACGCTTACAGGTTAAAAAAAAAAAGTCAAAGTCATTGCCATTTAGTAGATTTCTCCTCAAAGTGACCCCATAGGACAAGGTAGAACTGCCCCTGTGGGTTTTCGAGACTATAACTCTTTATTGGAGTAGAAAGTTTCATTTTCTCCTCTTAGAAGTTAAAGTAGCCCATGTATAGCTTGTGTATTTGGCTTGTGCCAATCATGACAATATGTGTACATAAAAAATAGTTGCTACGACAAACCCACAGACCTTAAAATCTTTCCTGAGCTTTGTGAGCGTTTATTGATTATGGCGTTCATTAATTATTGTGGAACAAAAGGGAGCAGCTGTTATTGTCCACCACAACTGTGATGTGGACACCTCCGCCCAGTGACCCTGAGGGACAGAGGAGAGCTGCCCCCTGGGGTTCCCAAGGCTGTGGTCTTTGTGGAAGCCAGCAGTCACGTCTTTCTCCCACAGGGCAGCTGGCGGGTTCAACTACCCACACGATACGTTTGCTAGCAGCCGAGCACCTTAACCACTGAGCCATCAGGGTCCCGGCCACACACCGTATGACTGAATAAACCTCAATTAACCAGTTACTGTCCATTCAATGGAGCCCTAGCGGCCCAGAGGATAGAACACTTGGCTGCTAACCAAAAGGCCAGCTGCCGGAATGGGAGGAAGACGCGGCAGTGGGTTGCACGGACTGGTTATTTAAATTGGCTCTTTAGCCTCACTTTCGCCAGAGATGCCCTCTTCTCTCCTTTTTGCTTCCAACCCAGCCTTCCTTTCCCCTGCTTCCTCCCAGCTGTCCTTATTTTGCGTAGCCCGAGCGCTGGCCTGTTTCCTTTGCAGAAGGCTTATTAAAACCTCATTTCCACAAACCAGTCTCTCTCAGGAGGCATAATGGAGGTGCAAAATGCGTATTGCTTTCAAAAAATATTGTGTATTCCAGATCATTAGACTAGTGCCTAACATATAGTTTTATTATGTTCTGTGGTAGTCTAAGGTTTTAGAACTAAAAACAAAGACACAATGTTGTCCTAGCTTCCCCAAAGTCTTAGGCAATCCCAATTTTGATTTCACTGTTATCTATAAAAATTAATTTTTCCCTCCTCTGACACACCTACCTGTCTTCTACCAGATTGAAGATAGATGGTTCTATGCAAGACTATGCTACCTATTCACAACAAGAATGACATTTTCTGCCCTTTCATTTATTTTCTCTATTCCCCCGCATTCCTCTTCTACTAGAAATGCAAAAGAGATAAAAGCTGTCAGGGAAGAAATTACATTTTGGCTGCTTGTCCTTCTGTATTCATCTAACACTCGGTGGTGTAGCAATACACTTTAAGATAGGGAAAAAATGAGGAATTAAAGCAGGACATAGTTTTATTTTCCGGGCCATGGAGTGCTGACTGGAGGTTTTCTGGGACCTGGGATCGGTCCGTTGCAGGGCCTTTTCCTTGTTTCCCAGCACTTTTGCTCACCTTAGTGGGGTTTTCCACCTGATTTCCAAAACTGGAAGTCACACTCATAAATTCAGACATACACTAACAAACACAGCGGTCAGATATAAAAATAACAAAGAGTGTAAACGTTTTAATATCAACTCAATTCTACTTTTTAGAGGGGCAAAAAATAAAAGAATTTTCAAAATGCTGATGGCCATTCTACAGTTTCATTCCATTTAACCCCGCGTTTTATCAAATGTTTACTAACTTCCAAGACCTTTGCTACTGTTGCTGGGTGCTATCAAGTTCATTCCAAGGCCTAGCAACCCTTTGGAAGAGAGTAGAATTACCCCAGAGTCTCCTGTAATCTCTAAGGATGTAGGGAGCCAAGTCCTGTATCTGGTGGCTCATCTGGGGGACTTGAACTGCCGCCCTTTCAGTTAGCGGCTGAGTGCACCTCCAGGGCTCTTCAAGCCCTTTGCTAGATGTTGGGAAGGGAACACACACACATACTAGACAATTTCCTTGCATGTGATGAATTCACAATCTTGAAATAAAGATACTTTCATAGTCGTTAACAAGAATCAAAATATGATTCCCATTCCTAATCATTTATCTTTAAGGCACAATTCAACAAAAGCTACCTGAGGCACAGGGGTGGATGGGAAGGAGTTTACTGCAGAAGAAACAAGTGGAAACAACTTGTGTACCTGTTATTAATGGAATGATCATTAATAAAAAATAAGAACATATATAATCATTTAAGTAATAATTGCGGAAATGAAATAGATGGGTCAAAAGGATACACTACTTGTACTTATTGAATTTATTTTTATTGTGAAGGCATGCTCAATCTCTTTCTTATAGTTAATTAGGCAGATTTAAGATATAGGCTAAGAAGTACTATCTACCATTCATATAGCAGATTGTCCTACTGTGGTAACCTGTATGATGCTGTGATGATAGAAACTTTGTTACCATGATTTCAAATACCAGCAAGGTCATTCATATGTAACACATTTCAAAGGAGCTTTCAGGTTAAGTTACGGTAGAAAGAAAGCTCTGAAACTCTACTTAGAAAAAAGAAACAAGCGGCCATCTAGCTCAGAAGCAACAAAGCCCACATCGAACAACATAACAACCTGTGTGATCACAAGGTGTCGAACGGATCACTGAAGACAAATGGGTGCATAAGCAAATGTGG